AAAGTCTCACCAAGTTGCCCAGTCTGGTCTTGAACCCTTGGGCTCAGGCAATCCTCTTGCCTCTGCCTCCCAAAGTGCTGGGATTACAGGTGTGAGCCACCATGCTTGACTGCACTTTAACCCTTTTTAAGCGTACTGTTCAGGGGCATTAAGTTCATTCATACTGTTGTCTAATCGTCACCACAATCTATTTCTAGAACTTTCTCATCACCCCAAATGGAAACCCTTTATCCATAACTCTCCGTTTCCCTTTCCTCATCCCCTGGCACTCATTGTTCTACCTCCCGCGTCTGAGAACTTTCTCATTCTACGGACCCCGTGTAAGTGGAATCGAACATTTGTCCTTTTGTGTCTTCTCTGATTTGTGCGGCTCTGACAGTCACTCTGGCTTTGTTATGAGACTCTACATTATCTGGTGCTTATGTGTAACCTTTTCACAATGTGATTCCCACTGTACCAGACCAAGAATCCCCTGAGGGGACTCTATGCAGCACAGCTGAGTACAACCCCTGGCATGCGCAGGATTCAGCCAACTCTTACTCAAGGTCAAGGGTTGACTGGGTGAATGCGTGAACAGGCAGCTGTGTGGGAAGTTCCAAGAAACATGAACCCACGAGAAAGAGGCAGAGAGAGGAGCCATACCTGAGGGCAGCCATTCTGGCTGACCCGAGGCACATCGAAGTTCATCACGGATGGGATTGGGAAGGGCAGTGGCGTGATGGGCAGCCCCTCAGAGCCTGGGTCCCTGTTGGCCTGGCTGACCCTGGAGAGGCAAGGAGGCAGGCTCAGCACTCTGGGTTCCGTGTCCAACCGAGGCAGGCGCCTGACCCTCAGGAGATGGTGCCATCACAGAGGTCGTGTGTTCCTGGGGGGCGCGGCTTCTTCCCCATATGGCCAAATGGCTGGAGTCTCCTCCTGAAGACTGGAAACCACCAAACTCAAGGAAGTTTGGGAAGGAGGGGACATGTTGGGGCTGGGGCCAGGGAGACCCCCAGGAGGGGAGGGAAGAGAAGCCACGGCAGGGCTAAAGGTCATGAAGTTCTAGGTGGGCCCTTGGACTGCCCCCTGGTGGTCAGCCACCGGCTGGAGCCTGTGGCCCACTAGAGCGGGAAGGAGTGTGGGGGAGGGTGGGACAGAGAGGTTGGGAATGAGAACCCCCCATCCTCCACACATTGGCTCCCCCCGCAGCTTTGGGCCTGATGTGGGCACTCACCCTCCTTCCCAGCCTGCTCTCAGGAGAAGTCTGGGCTCACCCTGGGGAAAGAAAGGACTGACCACTGTGGGGGGCTTACGGGAGCCCAAGATGCAGTGGGGATGCCGGAAGGGCCTCATGGGAAGGGGGTTTCCAGAGCCCCTGGAATCAGCCTGTGGTGGCACTGATGGCCTCTCCCCCTTCTGTCCTCTGTCCTCCCTCCTCGCCCACACCCACCTGGGCCCCACTCACTTAAATTCCTTGTAGTTGGGAACCACCCGCACAATCACCACCATGGGGTGGGCGTTGTTGGCCAGGGGCTCGTTGACTCCCCGGAGAAAGACCTAGAGGGGGGGAGGCAGGTGAGCCCTGTGCAGCCTGGGCCCTCCCAGGCACACCAACTAGCCTACCATCTCCCTCCCCAGCTGTGGGCTCCTCTGCATGCCACATCTGCCCTTCCCTGATCCCTGCCCTACTTCTTACTATGCACAAGGCTGTCTCCTCCAGGAAGCTTTCCCTGCCTAGCTGAAGCAGTTGCCCCAGTTTTCTGCCCTAGAGTTCAGTGGTGAGTCTTTTACACCTGTTTCCTTGGGGAGCAGGGTGAGATGAGGCTGGGTACCTGGGCAGGAGGTCAGGAGAGTCATGTTCTAACCTTGGCCCCTGTTAGGTTTAGGGCTGGGTGTTCTAGCTCCTCAGTTTCTGCTCATCAAGGTGGGCAAAACCCTCATCCCGGCTCCTGAGGGGTCTCTGATGAGACAGTTTGTGGGAAAGCACTTTGTAAACCAAGGACCCGGGGCTCGGGTCTGAGTTTCCCGAGGTCGGCAATCACAGACAGTTCCTCCGAATGCCTTGGTTTCGTTACCCCGGTGCCTGCCCCCCACAGGGCTTCCCTGGCAAGGGCTAGTGTGGAACCAGATCGTGGCATCCACATCTCTGGGCACCTCTTTTTTTATCAGACCCAGTGGTCACTTGTCCCACCACCCCCTGGTTACCCCTCAGGCTTCCAACACCTCTGAGGGACCTCCCTGCACCCAGTCCTGACTTCCAGTGGCACAGCCTTCAGGAGGCAGAGCAGGGCTCCCAGCAGGAGGCCGCAGAGCAGAGTGGACAGCATCTCCAGGGGTGATGGGCAAGAGCCTTGCTCCAGCCCTCGCTGACTCCTGCTCGGCCAAGACCTGGGAGGCCCTGGATAGGCAGAGGGGTAAGCATGGCTTCCGGCTCCCGCATTCTCACCGTCATCCCGAGAGCCGCTGATGTCCCCCTAACCCACCAGGGGCCCCTGTTCTCCCTCAGCCTTCACCCTAGCTCCCTGCAGCTGTCCCTCTTGCTCTGACCCCTCTACTTCCACTCCCTTCCCTGACACCAAGCCACCCCTTCCCCAGGAATTTGACACCCAGCGGCAAAACCTGTCTTTTTAAAAATGAATTGAGTTGGATTTGGTGGCTCACGCCTGTAATCCCAGCATTTTAGGAGGCTGAGGTGGGAGGATCACTTGAGGCTGGGAGTTTGAGACCAGCCTGGGCAACACAGCCAGAACCTGTCTCTCCAAAAATTTTTAAAAAATTAGCTGGGTATGGTAGCATGTGCCTGTAGTCCCGGTTACTCTGGAGGCTGAGGTGGGAGGATCGCCTAAGCCTAGGAGGTCAAGGCTACAGTGAGCCATGATAGTTCCGCTGCACTCTAGTCTGGACAACCCCAACTCAAAAATAAATAAATAAATGGGACCCTGTCCTTCCCCTGCTTGAGATGCTGCCATGGCCCTCACTGCCTTCAGAATGAATTCCCTGCTTCTTACATGGCTGTCAAGACCCACACATGTCGGCCTGCACAGCCCTGGGCCACATCTCCTGACAGCCCAGTCCCCGTGCCCCCTCTTTTGGTGCCAGACTCGTTTTCTCTCTCTCCTTCAACATGCTCTGCTTGTTTCTGCCTCAGGGTGTTTGCACACACTGATCCCTCTGCCTAGACTCCCCCCAGCCACCAGGAACTCATCATGGCTGGCTCCTGCTCGTCCTATAGCTTAAATGTCACCACCTCCGAGAAGCCTTCCATAACCACTCTTCCTAAGGCAGCCCATCCAGTCCTCTCTCTCTCTCTTTTGGCTGCTGTATTGCCTCTTCCATAGAATTCATCATAGCTCGTGTTTATTCTCATGTATTTCTTATTTATTTTCTGGCTAGAACCTAAGCTCTGCACAGGCAGGGACCATGTCTGTTGCCCCAGGTTTCGGCAAAAGAGCACAGAGCAGGACTCAGTCTATGTTTGTGGGACAAATGAGTATCCTATTAACATTACTCATTTGAATATTAATCATATTAATGAGGGAGAGAGGTGGGAATCATGGAGGGAGGAGCTGACTCTGTGTTGTTGAACATGAAAGGGGGCTCTCAGAGAGACCTGGACGCGGGAGGGGCGACCTGCAGTGGCCTCTTGAGGGTCTCGGGGATGGTTGGGATCTGGCTCCAGGGGAAGAGAAGCAGGAAGAGGAAGGGGCTGTGGACTCAGCTGAGGGGCCACACCCTGGGCATAGCTCGGGATGGGAAGAGGCCTCCCTGGTCTCCTGCAGTACCGCTTACTCAAGCTGGGTCACCTTGGCAGTCCTAGTGCCACTCTGGGCCTCAGTTTCCCAACTTATACACTGAGGGGGTTGGACCATCATCTCCCCAATCCCTCTAGCTCTGAGCCTCAGTGGGAGGTGGGCCTGGGGTGGGGCCTGTTCTAGATCCTTCTCCCTTGTCTCCTCTGCCTCAGCACACTCCCCTCTGCTGGGGCCCATCTCAGGGGTTGCCACTGACTCCACACATGAGTGCCTAGTACAGTCCTCAGGGCCTTACCACTGCCACTGGGTCCTCCAGGGATGATGTCCCTTCATCCCCTTCAAAGCATGGAGTCTCTGATGGTGGCATTTGTAACTCTGGGTGGGGCTAGAGGTCTGGGCCTGAGGTTTTCACTGGAGCGGTCAGGTCCTGTTGCTCACAAGGATTCCCCAGGTGTAAGGCTTTCGGGGGCATCTAATCCACACCTGTTCTGTGTTGACTTTGGTCAGTGTGAACAGGACTGCTGCCCAGGCACACCTGCTGGTGCGACCACACCTGTCACACAGGTAGGGTATCTGAGGGCCACAGAGGCCCAGGCTCTGCCAGGAAGTCAGAGGGCGAGGTTGGGGTGGGGCAGAGCCAAGCCTCCTCCAGACAGAAGCCTCTGCCTGGGTCTCAGGGATGGCCCCCTCCCCATGGGGTGCGGTTTAGGAACAGCAAAGCCAAGCTGTGGCCACTCTTCCTTGTTCCATGTGTGTGAGCTGCTGGCCATCCTTAGGAATGGGCAAGATAGCAGAGAGAGGGGACATAGGGGAGCGGAATAGTTCTTTAGCCCCATTTCGCAGCTGGGGACCCTGAAACCCAAGGAGACTCTGGTGTGGGAGCCAGAATCCCTGATCCACATTTCTGCTTTTCCATGGCTACCCCTGGGACCGTGGCATGTACAGCACTGTGAGCTAGGCAGTGACTCATGCCTGTAATCCCAGCACTTCGGGAGGCCAAGGTGGGAGGACTACTTGAGCCCAGGAATTTGAGGCCAACCTGGGTAATATAACGAGACCCCTCTTCTATATATATTAAAAAAAAAAAAACCCTAGCAGAGTGTGGTGGCATATGCCTGTAGTCCCAGCTACTCAGGAGGCTGAGATGGGAGGATCGCCTGAGCCCAGGAGGTTGAGGCTGTGGTGAGCCTTGATTGTGCCACTGTCCTCCAGTCTGGGTGACACAGTAAGACCCTGAATCAAAACAGAACAAAAAAACTGCTCTTGCCCTGCCAGGCTCACAGTGCTGAGAGGAGGGGTGGGGAGAGCCGGTCAGCCATGGTGGGACAGGGGAAGCCCTGAACCTGATCCCCGGGGATCCCCTGAATCATACTCGAGCCATAACTGGATTTGGGTCTGTCACCCACAGGCAGTTTGAAGGCTGGGGAGTGGAGAGGAGCTGGGTCTCTGCCTCGACACCAACAACTTCTCTGGGAGATGCAAAACAGCCTGGGGTGGAAGGTGATGGGTTGAAAGGCTGGTGACCAGGCCCAAACCAGGCCGGGCCCTGTCCTGGCTAATAGAAGAGCCTCTGTAGATAGAATGAATGAATGAACACCTAGCCGGGCTCGGTGGCTCAGCCTGTAATCCCAGTGCTTTGGGAGGCTGAGGTGAGTGGATTGCCTGAGCCTGCGGGTTTGAGACCCGCCTGGGCAACTTGGCGAGACCTCATCTCTACAATAAATACAAAAAAAATTACCAGGTGTGGTAGCACACGCCTGTAGTTCCAACTACTTGGAAGGCTGAGGCGGAAGGATTGCCGGAGTCCAGCAGATCGAGGCTGTGGTGGCCAGGAGTGGCCACTGCACTCCAGTCTGGGTGGCAGAGTGAGACTCCAATTAAAAACAAAACAAAAAAAACAAAACAAAAAAACAAAAAGAATGAACACCTAATGGACAGTACTGAAGGAAAGGTTGGGAGGCTACCACTTTGACTTGGGTCCTAGGCATTAGTCACTACTCAGGGGAAAAGAAAGGAATAGAAAACAGCAGGATGGTGGGCCCAGGAGGAGAGCCTGGGGTTTCCCCACCAACAGGATTCAGAGAGACATAACTCTAGAAGGCCCTCATCATCGCTGCAGCCCAGGGGCGGTACACAAGGAGCAGAGCTGAGTCAGAGCCCTGCCTGTCACCTCTGGGGCCCAAAAGGGAAGGAGCGGTGACAGCTTCTTCATTCGCATCATGCCTGGTGTAGCAGGGCTTGTCTTCACACACTAGTTATTTTCTTTTTTCTGTACAGATGGGGTCTCGCTATGTGTATGGTCCCCAACTCCGGCCTCAAGTGATCCTCCTGCCTTGGCCTCCTAAAGCGCAGTGATTGTAGGTGTGAGCCACCGTGCCCCGCCTGCTTTGGCTATTTCCGGGAGACCTGGCTTGTTCTTCTATTCTCGACACCTCTGCTCTACAACCTCAGACCAGCCAGAAGGGGCTAAGGGCAGGGCCTGGGGGCTGCTCAAAGCTCAGCCCCATCCTACCTCACCTGTCACCCCAGAGGGCCCCAGCCCTGGTACCTCCAGGGCTGTGTGACTGCAGCCAATGTAGCGGGGGATGAAGCTGCTCTTTCGAACGACTGTTGCGTACAGCTTGGTCTCGGCTGTGGTGTCGCTGACGTTGCCAGACTGGGTGGGCTGGAGGCAGGGTGGGAGAAGGAAGCATGGAAGAAGAGCGTCTGAGGGGCAGGCCCTGGTCATAAATCCAGCCCTTTGCACACAGTCACCGGCATTGCTCCACAGGGGCCCTGAGCTGATAATTAAAGCCCATGTCCCTGCGAGCCCTTCCGAGATCAATACAATAAATCTTCCCTTTTCCGTTGGAATATTTCATCACCCTTGCAAGGACAGCTGCTGTCTGCTCTCTGGTGAGGACATGATAACAAGGCCTGGGTTGTCAGTGGACGCAGAGTCGGGGTGCCTGGGTAGTGCCCCCAGAATGACAGCTCAGGTGCCAGGTCGCCCAGGGGGAGTCTCTCCTCTCTCTTTTGCTTCCCTCCCTGGCCCTGGTGACTCATCCCTGGGACTGGGGTTCCCCTTGGGGCATAAGGGAAGGCAAAGCCATGGATGAAGACTTGTTTGGAAAAAAGGTCAGGACCAGAGCCTGGAGGAGGCAGGGCAGGAGGAGGAGAACTGATCAAATTGAGCACCTACTATGCACTGGCACTGTGCCCTGCCCTGCACAGGCTCCTCCAGGCGACCATGCCAGGAGGTGTACTGTCCCAGCTCTGCTGATGAGGGTGGAGGTGGGGGTCAAGTGGTGATGTGTGAGGTCCAGCTAGTGACCAGCATACCTGGGAGAGGGACCCAGACAAGCCAGCCTCACACTGTTCCTCACTCTCAATTCTGTAGGGGTCTGGAGTGCATACTGGGGGAAGAGGGTCACGCTTCTGTTCCTCTCTGGTCAGTACTTGCACACAGTAGGTGCTTCCTAAGTTCTTGAGCAATGAGGGAGTGACTTATCTCCTCTATTGAGGGGAGAGGGGACAAGGGGACTGGCCTGGGAGGTCCAGGCCATGGGCTGAGGGATCTGAGGCTCTCTACTCCAGCTCATGCCAGTTGCCAGTGCATTCCAGAAAATGATTTGTTCCCCATATGCCCCCACTCTCCCGGTCCTTTCTTCAGTTCAGGTGGCAGGTGAAGGTGACCTGACTGGGAAGATGGCATAACCAGGGCTCACCCTCGACTCTGCCAACCACTCACTCTCTCCCTCTGTGACCAAGAATGAGATGGTTCCTGTTCCCAAGTCTCAGTCCCATGTGTGCAAATGCCATTTTCCTTGAGGCTAGAGACGATGCATGAAGTGTCTAGCACAAGACCCGGACACAGCGGGGCTTGGTAAATGTCATGTTTCTTGGACTTTGAGATCCATCCTTGTCTTTTAACATTTATGGAATCAGAATATCTCTTTAATTGGTGTATTCATTTAATGTGGTGGTTGTTCATGCTAAGTGGACTGTTATACAAAGATAAATTTGGAGAATTCCAAATTCCTATGGACGTCATTCCTAGCTATGTGCCAGAAGCTATTTCCAGAGCCCCACGTGGGCCTGGATGTGTCGTGCTGTGGGTGGGTGTGGGATGCCCAGGGCTGCTCTAAGGAAGGGCTGGGGGTGTTCACGTAGGTTCCCACTCTCCCCCACAGTCCCCTGGCCCAGGCCTCTGCCTCACCTTCACCAGCTCAAAGTGGTAGGGGTGGAAGACTCGCAGGTATTTGATGGGGATATTGTAGGACAGCAACTCCTCTTTCTTTTTATTGTCCATGACCTTGAGGACCACATCTGGAGAGAGAAAACATAAGCACAGGGTCAGGACATGGCTTAACTGATAGCCTGCCTTCCCAGGGACAGTGGGAGTGGGAGGTATTGATGAGAGGAGGGAGATGGGGACACACAGAGGACTAAACATGCATGCACACATGTGGGTCACACCTGTGCACACAAACCCGCAAGCACTGTTCCAGCCCCTGCACAGGGCAAGACTCTGTGCCAGGTTAGGACCCAAATGCAATTGTCTCCTGTGGTCGAGAAACACCCCACCCAGAGATAGACACACACAGAACTGAGCCCAGACGCACATGCACACATGCTGACCTGCATGGGCAAGTGGGTATAGTGTCCTTTCCAGGAATAAGGCCCTTCTCTTGGTCACAAACACTCTCACCAGCTCCTCGGGCAGAATGGGAAGGATTAACTCTCACATGTTACAGGTGGGAAAACTGAGTCTCAGTAAGAAAAAGTAACCTGCTCAAGAAATCCTTCAGTGCAGCTATCAATAAGTCTATAAGTAAATGAAAGCGAGTGTAAATTGAGAATAATGCACTATCTGGAAAACTCCCTCCAGAGAGACCTCGTTGTCCCGTAAAATGGCATGAACTTTGGGATGAACTTTAAGGAGAATACAAATGTCCTGGAAATGATCATGGAAGCTCAACTTAATGAGCACCTATTGTGTGCCTGGCATGGGAATGGGCACTTCTCAGCCATTATCCCAACAAATCCTCAACACAGCTCCACAAGTAGATGTCATCATCTCTGTTTTTGAAATAGGAACAGAGCTTAGAGAGGTTATATAACTTGATAAACATCACACAGCTAGGAGATGGGGGACAAGTGAGGTTGGATTTAATGACCCTTGAGGCATTTTTTTTTCCATTCTGGAAATCTAAGATTTGAGGAGGAAGAAGAGATGGGGAAGGAGGAAAGGGAGAGAAGGATGAGGGAGAAATGGAGGGGGGCGTTGAGTGAGAGATGAAGGGGGACGGGGGGACGGGGTAGAAGAAACAGAGATCCAGGGACAAATGGGAAGTGGACGTGGTGGGGGTGTGCCTGGGGAGCCCCTCAGGAAGCCCCTTGCCCTCTGTCTCTCTTCTTGAGATGAGGACATTTCAGCACCGGGGACAGCGACTGGCCTTGAAGGCTCTGCTCATTAGGCTGGGTCCAGTGCTGAGTCCAAGGTCTGTGCCAGATACCATAGAGCTGCGAGGTTGGGGAAGGAAACTGAGGGCTTTGCTGACTCTTCTTCCTCTCCCCACCCCCCTCTACAGCCACCCTGAACACACAGACAGGGAGAGACACTTGCCAAAATCTGTCAAGAGCTGGCCACATGGGGTCTGTGCTCAGTGGAAGGCAGAGGAGAAGGGCAGCAGAGGTGTTGAGGTTGGATTGAAGAAAGTAGACTGAGGCAGGGGTGTGAAGTCAGCAGTCCTGAGCTCTAGGACCGAGACCTTAACTTGCTCTGTGACCTTCAGCAAGTCACTTAACCTCTCTGAGCTTCACCATCCTGCTCGCAAAATTGTGAATACTTTAAAAAGAAAGACCATGTCCCTCCCTGAGGATTGCCATGGGGAGGGAGTGTGCTTTTCAAGTGATAACATTCCATGCAGAGGCTCCTCATGGCTGCCACTATTTCCTCCTCGTCAACCATCTGTGGCTCTCCGTTCACCCACCCACTCTGGGCAGACTTGAGGACACCCGGCTGGGGGATTCCAGTGCTCCCAGCCAAAGCCCCCTAGTAGCTGTGGAGGCTGCAGCCCCTTGTGCCCACCTCCACGGACCCACAGTGCCCAGATCTGGTTGGGATTTGCCAGGCTGAGCGAAAGGTGAGCACCCTGCAACGTCCCCACCCCCATTCCTGGAGCTCGATGCGGGCAGCCAGCAGAGAAGCCGGAATTGGGGGGGAGAGTGGATAGCCATGCCTCCCTGCTCCTGTCTCCATGCTGCAAGCACGCCTCATCAGCTTCCTCTCTGGGCATTGTGCCCTTCCGGCCTCCCGCCGCGCCCTTTGTGTGACCAACAAGCCGTTTCTGCCGCACGCCTGCTCTGGCCCAGCACAGAGTCTGCACAGCCCTTTGCTTTTCATTAACACATCGCTGGGCTCCCTCCACCCCTCCCCCACCTCTTGGCCTGGCCCCTGCCTCTCCTGCCCCCACCCTACTGCAGACATCACCACAGCAACCGCTTCCAACCAGGTTCCAACCAGCATTCAGCGACTTCAAGCTGCAAACGGGTGCCTGCCAGTATTCCCTGCCGGAGGCCCACAGCCTCCCTGCCCTCCTGTCCCTCCTGCTGTAAGTCCTGTCCTCGTGCACAGATGGGCCCAGGGCCACCAACCTCATCACACCTGTTTCTTTACCATCCCAGATGTGCCGAGCCCAGGGCAGGATCCTGGATCAGTGCCCCTAACTACAACCCCTGACTTCCCGCCAGCATGCATGCACATACACATGCATGCACACACAAACTACACACACTCAAACACTGCAAGGTACACACCACACCCTTCAGCTGCACGCAGGCACACACAAGCACACTGTGGCAGCAGACACACCCATGCACACACACACAAGACACACAGACTTGGATGCCAGCAGACATAGCACTCTAACACACACAGCATCCACACACACACACACACACACACACACACACACACACACACGAAGCAGCATGCAGACATTCCCAGGCATGCACACGTAGACACATGAGTGTCTCTGCATGAAACCCTGGCACAATTCTTCCTTCGAATCTTCTCGACCATCCCAACAGCCCTTCCTATCCCTTTATAGGCAGAAAAGAGACTCTGGCTCAATCCAGCCTTGCTTCTTCCCAGTTATATAAGCTCCCCCCCTTCCTCTCTCCCCTCCTGTGGTCTTTCTCTGCTTCCTTCCTTCCTCTCTCCCCTCCCATGGTCTTTCATGGCTCCCCCATTTCCTCTCTGCCCTCCCATGGTCTTCCACCAGCAGCTCTTTGCTCTTTGTGTGGCGAGCAAGTGTGCTGTCTAGGTCTCTGCAAGAATTCAGGGGAGGCAAAGCCTGCTTTCTTGGGGAGAGACCACCTGTGAGAAGTGAGTCTGAGGTTCTTCTGACTAGATGAGACCAGCAATATCGCTGGCACCTCTGGCTGTGTTGACATGCTCGGTGCCCACATCCTACCACGCCGGCATCAACCAGTCAGTACACGTGTGTGCCCAGCCTGGCTGGACCCTGGAGTACAGTGAGAGCCTGCAATGCTGAGTCCCATGCTCTCCGCTTACTGAGCACTTGGGCTTGAGCCAGTCCTGTAGATGGCCTGAGCCTCAACCTTCTCTCCTAAGCAATGGGAGCAGTGGTGCTCCTCCTGGGAGGTGGTGTGACTCCAGTGAGCATGGGGACGTGCCGGGAAAGCTGTAATGTGCTGTTTCAGTGAGAGACAGCGGTAATGACAACCATGAAAATAATAACAACAGTCATAAAAAAGATAAGCTCGCATTGTCTGGAAAATTCATTTATGTGGAACACCTCATTTTTCTAGCCGGCTGGGGAGATGAGGCGTGACAGTATTACAATTTTTCTAAGTGCTTTTCACTGAGCCCAAGGGGGCGTTCAGGTGGCCGCCAGCTGAGCAGAGAGGGTCCTGTCCTCGGTGGGCGTGTTCCCAGCCCCACCCACCCACGGCAGCTTGCCTGCGCCAGCCTCACCTTCTTGCCCTGCATCCTCAGCTTGGATTTCCACTTTCACCGTGTCCCCCCAGATGGGGGCTCTGGTGGGCTCCGAGGTCACAGCTGTGACTGCCTTGGTGCTCTGGCTGTGTGCTTCCTCTGAGGTGCTCTTCCTGGGGAGGGGAGGGGTGGGGTAAGTCAGAAGGAGGGCCCTGCCTGCCCCCCCACCTGAAATCCACTGACTATAAATCTGAGCAGAGGGTAGATGGAACACGGAGAGCTCCCTCCCATGCACAGACACTCATGTCACCCGGGGCCCAGGGGACACCAGGCCTCTCCCCTCAGCTGTCCTGCCTTCCTGGGGAACCACACTGTCTTGCTGGTAACTGTCAAGGCCTTTGCTTAGACAAGGCACAAGAGGCTCAGGGCAGGGGTGGGTGTGGGTAGGTACCTGTCCTGCTGACTTCCTGCCCCAGGGAGGGTCCCCAGCAGGTGCCTGTGTGCGGGAACTCCTGACCCTCTTATCTAGGTTTGGTTGAGTGGGAGGCAGTCTCTGGGCAGGTGACCTCATGGTGCCCATCTGGCTGTCCTCTATTCTCTGTCTTCATTTCCCTAAGCTTCTGGCCCACATTCTCAGGCTCTTTGCCAAGCACCTCCAGTTCTTCCTTTGTTACTTTTTACTTATTTTATTTTAATTTTTTGAGTTGGAGTCTCACTCTGTCACCCAGACTGGAGTGCAGTGGCCGCTCCTGGCCACTGCAGCCTTGACCTGCTGGGCTCCGGCGATCCTTCCACCTCAGCCTTCCAAGTAGCCAGAACTACAGGCGCGCGCTACCACGCCCGGCTAAGTTTTTGATTTATTGTAGAGATGAGGTCTCGCCAAGTTGCCCAGGCGGGTCTTGAACCCGCGGGCTCAGGCAATCCACTCACCTCAGCCTCCCAAAGCATGGGATTACAGGCTGAGCTACCGAACCCCGGCTCTTTGTTACTTTTTAGATACAAGGTCTTGCTTTGTCACCCAGACAGGAGTGCAGTGGTACCATCATAACTGATGGTAGCCTCAAACTCCTGGGCTCAAATGAGCTTCCTGCCTCAGAGTTCGGAGCAGCTGGGACTACAGTCATGTGCCACCACACCCAGCTAATTAAATTAATTAATTATATATGTTTTTTATAGGGACAGGGTCTTGCTATGTTTCCCAGGTTGGTCTCAGACTCCTGGACTTATGCAATCTTTCTGCCTTGGCCTGCCAAAGTGCTGGGATTGTAGGCATGAACCAAGGTGCCTGGCCAACAAACCCAGTCCTGACCACTTACAATGGAGCATGCATGTCCTATTGCCTTCTGGGGTGCCCACTGTATACAGGACCCTGGGCTGGGCACCTGGAGTTGAGCCTAGGGCTGGGAGCAGGGGCCTCAAACACTCAGGGTGCTGAGGGCCAGGTTGTCCAGGGGGAGGAGTAGCTGGGGCCCTCTGCATCCCGTGCACCCCATAGGTGTCCAGGATGGTGTCCCCGAGGTCCAGAGCCATCAACCAGCTCAGTAAAAGAGTTCATACTTCTTCTGCTTTTATTTTATTTTATTTTTTATTAGAGATGGGATCTTGCTCTGTCACCCAGGTTGGAGTGCAGTAGTGCAATCATAGCTCACCACAGTCTCAAACTCCTGAGCTCAAGCAATCTTCCCCACTCAGCCTCCACAAGTGTTGGGACTACAGGCATACACCGCCATGCTGGCTCTACTTCTTCTGTTGAAGAGGTTGTGAGGTCAGGGCTGCACTCAGTGCTGCTGCTTTAGCTTGGGCTATCACATGTAAAGCTCATCCTGAGATCTCGAGGCAGGGGAGCCACGCCCACACCCTGGAGGGGGCACAGCGCACTACCACAGCAGGATAGGAAGCAGAGGTGGCATCCTCGCCAGCCCATGGCCCGCTCCAAAGCCCCCAAAGGAGTGTGGGGCAGGCCTAATGCCCAGAAGTCAGATCTAATCTGCCCCAAGCATTGACAAAGCCAACATGGTCCTCCCCAGCCCAGGAAGCCCTCTCCTTCGGGAAGCCCTCCAGAACCCCTGGCCCTCACTGCTTCCCCTGTTCTTTAGACTGAAGTGACACTATGGCCTAGCTCCTTGCTCCCATTCATCACAACCCTGCCCTGGTGGTTAATTGTTCCTGTGGGAGCCCCACCTCCAAGACTCCCGCTCTGCTTTGACTGAGAGGCAGCAAGACATGGGAATTGTAACAGGGACCTTGTGGTTGGACGTCTGGGTTCCAAATCCCAGCTCTGCCACCACCAGCTGTGTGATCTTGGGCAGGGTACACGATCTCCCTGTGCCTCATCTGCTTCATTCATGAAACGGGAGGATAATGGTACCAGCCTGCAGGGCCGCTGTGGGAATGTAAGAGTTTGCTTCGTGTGTGCCCGGCACGTGTTCAGCACTGGGAAGGTGTCCATGGGTATTAGCACCTTTAATTATGAATACAAACATACAAATGTCATTCCCTCCTCCTGCTTCCCAGGGCTGGAGATCTCAGCATTGGTGACCCTTCTGTGACTGCCCCTGTGTCTCTGGCGTGGTTTCCCCCCAACATGCCCCTGGGTTTCAAGCTCCTGTCTGTCCAGGCTGGGTCACCAACCCTCTGAGTCTCAGTTTCCCCTCCTTCAGCAGTGCCTCCCTCAGAGGATTGGAAGGAAAGCCTGTTCAGCTCCTGGCACCTGTAAGCCCCAGTTCATGTTGTTCCTTCAATTGTGACACAAAAAAATTGAGCTTCCATACAATCCAGCAATTCCTATTCTTGGAATATATCCGGAAGAACAAAAATCGCTCTCCAAAAACCTGCACATGCATGTTTATTGCAGCACTATTCACAACAGCAAAAACATGGAACCAACCCAGATGCCTGTCAAAAGTGGACTGGATGAAGAAAAGGCAGTACGTATACACGATGGAGTATTACACAGCCATAAAGAACAACAAAAGCATGGCGTTCGCCGTGGCGTGGAGGCAGCTGGGGACCCTCATTCTAAGAGAACTACCACAGAAACAAAGAAGTGAATACCACATGTTCTCATGCATAAGCGGGCCCTGATCACTGGCCACACGAGCCCAGGATGGGAGAGAGGGAGGCATGAAGGGAGCGTGTGTCAGCACACTGGGTACCTGGTCCACTCTCAAGGGGAGAGAGGGCCAGCTAGAAGCCCAAACTTCACCTGCATGCAACTTACTTATGTGGAAGATCCTCACTTGTACCCCACAACTCTAAAATGAAAAGCAACAACTGGGCATGGTGGCTCACGCCTATCATCCCAGCACTTTGGGAGGCGGAGGCCAGAGGATTGCCTGAGCCCGGGGGTTCGAGACCCGCCTGGACAACTTGGCAAGACCTCATCTCTACAATAAATTAAAAAATTAGCCGGGTGTGGTGGCACGTGCTTGTAGTTCCAGCTACTTGGCAGACTGAGGCAGAAGGATGGCCTGAGCCCAGGTCAAGTCTGTGGTGGCTGTGAGCATGCCACTGCACTCTAGCCTGGGCGACAGAATGAGACTCCAACTCAAACAACAACAATAATAACAAAAGGCCAACACAGAGCCCCAAAATGACCTGCCTGTCTTCTCCAAGAAACCTGAGGGAGGACAGGGTAAGGGGAGGGGAGGGAAGCACTGAGGTCAGGCTGGGTGTGAAGGGGCGTCTCCCAGAGAGCCAGTGGCCTCTCAGATCCACCTTCTGTCCAGACACATGGCCCCTTTGGACCCTGCAGAGGCTGTCTGGGAGGCTGCCAGCTTGGGGAAGGAAGGCAAGGGCCCAGCTGGGTAGCAGAGCTCAGCCCACCCCACCCCTGGCTCCCTTCCTCTGGCTCTGTGACTGAGACCCACAGAGAAGTGCCATCCATGCCCACCTCATGTCATGCCATTGGCAGTCCCCCCTCTGCTGTCATGCCACCACAACTGCTCCCCAGTTTCGTCCACACAGGACAGTGTCTCTCAGCCTCCCTCCTTGGGGACCTGCACTTGGAGATGAAGGACAGAAGCAGCAGAAAGCTGGAAGCCTTGAGTGAGGCCGGGGGAAGTCAGTCCTTCCACACCCGAACACTGCAGGCACTGGATGCCAAGTCTGCTCCTGCCTGGCACATCCCAGAACTCTCCAGGGATCTCCAGGTGGCTCAGTGTGCTCTGAGGATGTGAAGTCACAGCAGGGCAGTGACAGGATTCAGGTGAGACCCCATGATCCACACTGGCCAGCTTGACTTCTGCCCTCCCAATCTCTGAGGCCTCTGGTCCTCCCACCACCCATCCTGTACACAAACCCTGGGAGGCTGGCATGTGGACTTATGGGGAAGGTCACAGGCAAGGCCATGGGGGCCTAGGTGCTGACTTTCCTTTGCCACAGAAAGAGTCATGCAAGTACCCAATCCCCCAACACACACAAGGAGGCCCTCAGGGCGAGGTGAGAGCAGACAAGCAGCCGAGAGGGGGGAGGCCACAGGGAGGGGGAGGCTTTTAGCAGGTGAAGGGAGGCTTTGGGGGTAATGGCTTTTCCTGGCATAGTTGACTCCTCTGGGCCTTGATGCTATTCTCAATGTTGAAGCATAGGAAGGGCCTGGGATTCCTCTCAGGACAGGAGCAGGGACAGCTCACTCCAGCTTCCAGTCCCATTCTGAATCAGCATGTGGCTGATTTTGGGTCCCCAGCCTCTGAGGGAGCCCGGGGACCTCCCAAGACCTGCCTCCCCAGGGCCCCCAGGGACTGTCTGCAAGGACGGAGGCTCCTCCCTCCCTGTCCCCAAGTTGGCGCCTACAGTCTCAAGGCTCAGACTTAATCCATCCACAGCCGTGGCAGCCACACAGGCTGGGACTGGGCTTGGGTGCAGAGGCGCAGCGAGGCAACCCCAGGGCAAGTGGCAGGAATCGAGCTCCCTGCCTGGCCCACCCCAGGCTGTTGGAGAGAGGGGTGTGTCTCTGACAGACTCCAGTCCCCAGCCAGGCATCCTTGGGGAAATCCCACTCCAGCAGGGGGTGGGGGGCCAGACCCAAGAGCAACTGTGAGTGGGCGGGGACAGGAAGGACTTTGCTTTCCTTCTTCAAGGTCATGACTAAGAGAAAATGAGTTGTCTAGTTCCCAGGGGCTCAGCTGAGTGGGGCTGAGCAACAGAAAAGCACAGAACATTGATGGGAGGGAGA